ACTGTAGGTAAAAACTTAAACTTCTGGAATAAAGAGTTTTAAAGGGTTAGTGATGGAAAACTTGCAGGTCAATGGGCATCAGTGTTTAAGGTTGGTAAACACTTGTACATATAATACTACCCGCCTGACATTGGCATGTGCTATTCAGGTGTCAAAGTTGTGCAGAACTGAAGGAAGAAACCTCAAAGACCGTGCCAGAAGGATGCTGGACAGGTAAAGCCTACAAAACGTGCAACATTAATCAAACATTGTGGTGTCAATACTCAATAAGTTACAACGCAAATCAGAAATGTAAAAAAGAATTCCTTTACTGGTCATTTTGAAATGTCAAACTTTGTCTGCAATTGTTAACCACCTCAATCTGTATTATATTTTAGGGTTTTAAAAAAATGGGAGGCTTTTTAAACAAGAAACACAACCAATAATTAATCATTTCCTTTAAGTTCACTGTTGGTTGTTTTATTTGTTAAAAGTAAACCAACAAAAGGGTTCATCTTTTTTTTATGTTGTCATTTTTCCGTAATGTTTTAATGTTAAGTGTGATACCATGCTCTTGATTTGTATTAGATTTTTGTTCTTTTAAATATCTTAAGTTATTTAAAATATTTTATTTTTATATTTTTATTATCTTAAGTTGTTAAAAATTCCAGATTTTTTATCATAATATTTATATTTAAGTATATTGTATTTATAAAATGTTATTTTGTCATTAATTCTTTTGTATTTTTATCATTTTGTATTGTCTTAATTTGTCCAAGTTGTTAAAAATTTAATTTTTCTTAATAAAAGCTGTATATTTAGTTTGTTTGGATGGATTGCCATTTTGTTGTCTATTAGATGTATATATGTAGGCATTCATTAGCTGTCTATTTGATGACTAGTCTATTCTTGGGCTATGGTTAGACGTCTATTAAATTTTCACTGACAGACCAAATTTAGTCTTGTTTTAGCCTAGACCCATATTCACCGTCTATTAGACGTATATATGTAGTCGTTTAATAGCGGTCTAATTGATGACTAGTCTAT